GCCCACGTCAGTTACCCCACCGTATTACATAAGTAAAACCCTAGTTGTAGGCTAATTGTTTAGGAGAAGACTTGTCTGATCAATTCCTTGAGTAATCGTGAGTAATTGAGAATCCTAGGAAGATGAGGAGACCTCTTAAAGTAATTTAATTTAAAAATGAGAGGGCAAATTTTGGGGTACAACAGGTACACATAAATTATCTCTAAAAAAGGCTTATAGGTTTAAGAATCATGATTCTCCAAAGCTAGTTTGGAACAAAGTAATTCAGGAAAATGACATATCTCCATCTAAATTATTCTTTACCTTGAGATTAATGCACAATAAAATGTCCATTGATGAATTACTACATGTAGAGGGTTGCTCCATAGCCTTTATATGTTGCTTATGTAAAATGAACTTTGAATCTAACCACCATTTATTATTCAGTTATCCTATTGTTGTTAAACTGTGGCTTTGGTTAAGTAAAACAATCAGAACAAACCTTCACTTTAATTTCACGGAAGAACTTTGGGATTTTTTTACAAAAAGGTTAATCTCCACAATGTGCCCTCATTTTAAAAGCAACCATCATATTTCTTATCAATGTAGTATAGACTGGTAGGAATGTGATTAAATGCAACAATAAATTGGTCACTTTTAACTCTATTTGCTCTCGAATAAAGTAGTATAGGCTTTGGGTGGAAACAAACTAATCCTTAGTTGTCAAGGCTTTTGCAAATGAGAGATTTAACTTTATGACTTGACGACTTAGAAATAGATGACATGTTTGCTCGAAAATTGTTCTTAACACGTCTTTCACCATTTCACACATATATAGAGGAAATAATAGTTGTGTAGTTTGTTTCCACCTTACAAAATCCCACAAGGAGGGAGCTGGTACAAGAGAAAAGTTGTTGAAGTCAAAGAGTTATTGAAAGGGTTGATGAATGTCTAAGAGTTCACTAGTAAATATTACCAACTCAGAAGAATTAGTAAGCTTTTGGAAGAGGAAACTGAGAATAAATACTGAACTAAATACACTTGGGTTAGAATCAACATCCCAAAGCACAATTTCATTTTTTGGTTGTCTATGCAGGATAAGCTGAAAACTAGACAAAGGCTAAAAAAGATGGGGATTATTGACTCCAATGTGTGTGTTATGTGACTTGTAGGAGGAAAATTGTGAACACCTCTTCTTTAAGTGTGTTTACAGCCTGGAATGCTGGGAACCAATTAAGAATTAACTTAACTGGTACATGAAAAGTAATAAATTGCATGCTGCTATAAGATGGCTTAGCATAGCTAGAACTAGCAAGTTTAAAGTCCAAGTTTATAGTGCCACTATTGAGATGATAAAGAGAAATGTGAAAAATAGAGTTTGTTGCATGATAAGCAAAATCAACCAAAAAGATAGTATTTGGTTCCAAAATTGTTCTGGATTGGGCTAGCAATTGCCCCGCCGTTGAGGAGGCCCAATCATGCGTCTTTGCCCAAGGCGCAAAGGCATGCAGCCTAAGCAGGAGACCATTGGGCATTTCCCCACGTATCTATTAGGGAGACATTACCCAGATGTCCATATCGTCATCATAACTGCCCTCCGGGAATCACGGGTCCAACACCTGTTCTCTCGGAGCAGTTGACCAGGGAGGAGACCACGTGTTGGACTCCATACGCACGTAAGCTCTGACAATCTTCGTTGTTGGACCTCATCGTGATCCAATATTGAAGACCTTGGCCCAGCGCTGAGGGCTATAAATACCCTCTCACTTGAGAGGGTCAGGTACGAATTCATTCACACTCTCATACTCACTTACTTGCATAAGCTCTGAATCTCACTTTGACATCGGAGTGTCTTGCAGGTACCCTCCCTCCCTCCATTTCACCTTCTACTGTTGTTTAGCTTGAAGCTTGCGCCTTTGACAATCCTTTCTGGTCAGGTACGATTAAAAATCTATAATTGTCTTAGATAGGTTATTATGTAAACCCTGTCTTATTTGGTATTTTGTATTGTATAGTTGTTTTTGATAAGTAATCCAATTGTTGATTAAAAAAAATAGTTGTGTAATTTTTTGTTGTTGCTAATATAGCTTGTAGTGTTAATTTTTTACTGCTTTTTGATTCCATACCATTGATAATTAGACAAGCCTAAATAAAAAATAAATTATGATTATCTTTTGTTTTTTAGATTCAAGTCTTCTCGACTGAGTTTTGACTTAGTCCTTTTTTTTTTCAAACATATAAATTTTCTTTTAAAATATATTTGATTCACTTAAAAAAATAAATAAAGTTATATACTTTAATATTTTAGAATATATAAAATAAATATATTAAATTCACTAATATATTTTTTAATATAGATGAAAAAAAGGTAAGAAATACTTCTGTAAAAAAATAAATTAAGCCGTGTATATAACAAGTATTTACATTCCTCGTTCTTTTAAAAAGAGAGATACATACAATGCAAGTTATAGGGAAAACTACATTTAAAACAAATGAAATATATATATATATATATATATATATATATATATATATATATATATATATATATATATATATATATATATATATATATATATATATATATATATATATATATATATATATATATATATATATATATATATATATATATATATATATATATATATATATATATATATATATATATATATATATATATATATATATATATATATATATATATTCCAAAACAAGCCAACGTACCAAATTACAAAAAATAAGAAAGTTTTACCAATAGAAAAGAAAATGACATTTTTACAAAAATATTATTTTTATTTTTATTATAAATATAAATAAAGAGATATTGAATGTAAATTGATCTAAAAAATATTAATTAAATGATAGTAATTAAAAAGATTTGATTAATATTATTTACTTTAAACTAAATATTAAAAGAATTGAAGATTGAGAATTCAATCTCCCACAAATCAAAAGAATATGGAAAAAGATTCCTTATCTTTTACTATTCGCCTTTAGTCTATTTTCAAAATAGATTTAGATGAGTGAGAAACATAATTTAGAAAGAGATAGATATAAATGTATTAAAGAAATGAAAAACTAAAAGTAGTTAATCTTGATCCATAATAATACTAATGTAACCATTAGAATAAATTAATTATTTTAACACATATATTATTTTACTAATAGAAAATTATTTTAAAATAGAAGAAGTATTTTATTTTCTATTTACAACAAATGTTAAGTTTTTTTCAATAATTTAATAATTGTAATTAATTGATTATACTTATAAATTAAATATGAGTGATGTATTTTATTTGATATATTATCTAAATTAAATGAATGTAAGTTGTTAATTTAGAAATCAACAATTATTTTTAAAATTTACTTTTTTATATTTTATAATTTCAAAATAATTTAAATATATTTTTAATACAAGATATATATTACTTATAAATCAATAATTAAAAAAAATTATATCTAATAATTTCAAAATAATTTCATTTAATTTTTCTACAAGATAACAATATTGAATAAAACTTTAAAGTTCCAAAGATTGTTTTTTCAAATTTTACATAACATTCCTGCTTTTAATATTCATGAATGTTGTACTAATAAAGTCAATATTAAAAAGGAAAAAAATGTCAATTTAGTCTATTTTTCTTTATTATAAATATAAATAAAGTGATATTGAATTAAAATTGATCTAAATAATATTAATTAAATGATAGTAATTAAAAAGATTTGATTAATATTATTTACTTTAAACTAAATGTTAAAAGAATTGAAGATTGAGAATTCAATTTCCCACAAATCAAAATAATATGGAGAAAGATTCCTTATCTCTACTATTCGCCTTTAGTCTATTTTAAAAATAGATTTAGATGAGTGAGAAACATAATTTAGGAAGAGATAGCGATAAATGTATTAAAGAAATGAAAAACTAAAAGTAGTTAATCTTGATCTAAAATAATACTAATGTAACCATTAGAATAAATTAATTATTTTAAAACATATATTATTTTACTAATAGAAAAATTATTTTAAAATAGAAGAAGTCTTTTTATTTTCTACTTACAACAAATGTTAAGTACTTTTAATAATTTAATAATTGTAATTAATTGACTATACATATAAATTAAATATGAGTGATGTATTTTATTTGATATGTTATCTAAATTAAATGAATGTAAGTTGTTAATTTAAAATCCAAATTTTGACCTACTTTTATTTCTATTGTCTAATAAAATATATTAAAATTTATAAATCAACAATTATTTTTAAAATTTACTTTTTATATTTTATAATTTCAAAATAATATAAATATATTTTTAATACAAGATATATATTACTTATAAATCAATAGTTAAAAAAAAAATTATATCTAACAATTTCAAAATAATTTAATTTAATTTTACTAACATACCCTTAATTTGAACCAAACATACCCTTAATTTTATATATTCTTTCTCTCTGACATTAATAATATAATAAAACATAATAAAACATTTGAGAATTAAATTAACTAACAAAACTCAATATTATTAAGACGAATATTACCGTTAAGATTATTACAAAAATAAATAAATATAATAAAACAAAAAAATAATTATATATTGATTGATTATAGTTTCAAATATATTATTCATACATTAAAATTTGTTAAATATGTTATTAAAAAAGTTAGAAATATAAATAGTAAATTTTACAAAAAAAATAAAAATAAAATATTTTGAACACTTTATTTGTTGAACATTGAATGGATTGGAAAACAAGAAAGGAGAGTAGATGGAATGCCACGTTAAAGAAAAGAGTGTATATATATATATGTAATGTGTAGGGTCCACACGAAGCATCGATAACCATAACCCATCCTTTAGGTTTGTTTGTCAACAACAAATCCACAACCATATATAAACCCTCTCTTCTCACTCTTCTCTCTAAATTTATTACACACACATTCATTCTCACAATTCTCTCTTTCTCTCTCTACATTCCTTCATCTTTTTCGCAACCACACCAACACTCTCTCATACCTCATGTGCCAATTCGAAGGCGACGATAACTGGGTCGAAACGGCCATGGCTGACGTCAACTTAGTCGCCAACTTCCTTCTCACCATGAACAAACCATCTCCATCTTCTTCTTCACTCTCTCCGCCTCTCAATCTTCACTGGACCGTCCGTCAACGCCGCTCAAAGTCCCGCACTCGAAAGATGAAACCCGATTCGACAAGAGCAAGTCCCACCACGCCTCTCTCCTGGAGCGCCGCCACTTCCGCTAGTGCCGCCGACGGTAACGAAGAGTCCAGCCGTCTCACCAAACCGGTTCACTCTTCAAGATCTAAGGTTCGATTGCGATTTTCATTCTTTTTTTTTTTAAAAACCCGGTTTGATTTTTTACGGTTCGTTTTTTTTGTTTGAATGAAAACGAAACAATCAAGTTATGAAACTGTCTCTTTTCTGGTTTCTTTCTCATCTGACTCTCACAGTTTTGAGTTTTTATTTCTCTCATCTGATAATTTATATTTTACGATTTTGTCCATAAGGGTAGTTTCGTCATTCTGGTAACAGATCGGTGGTTTTCGTCGTCTCCGATTACCGGAACCACCGTCGTCGCCTTCAGTTAATTTCTATTAGATTTGCAACTCACGACTCTTGTTCCGTTTTTTTCTCGCCGCATTAGTCTGAAATTACCGAAAACACCCTTCTTCTCAAAATATTTATGTCTTTTAAAAAAAAAAAGCTCTTCAACCTTTTTATTTACTGTTTTATTAAGTTATTAAGTTTTGACTATTTTATTTTTGTAAGAATAATTTTAAGTAACAGTAATTGTAAAAAAAATAATTTTTTTTTTTTGTTTGAGAAATAAATGTTTTCAATTACATGAATTTTGTTAGATGCGTCTGTCATAACTGCTTAAGCGGCGAACTACTTCTAAGGGTATTTTCGTAAAATCGTAGTGTCCACGCACAAAGTAGTTGTTATGTGTACTTTTTAGTGCTTGCTTGCGTAATGAGATTGCGGAGTATAATCCAGTGTGGTCTCCCTCACTGTACTTCTCCGTGCGGACGCGTTCACGTTTTAGTTTTTTTTATTTCATTCATTCTCTGACAGGAACTAAAAAGAGAAGCTACGACAAAGTAAAGAGATTAATCAGTTAAATTAATTACAATAATTTACAATTCTATCCTTTTTTTTCTTCAATTCGTTTGAATGACAGCTTAGCTTGATAACAACTTTTAATTCGGATTTTCAGTTAGCTTTCTTATTCCAAAGAATAAGATGGTCTTTTGCGATTGTCGTAAGGTCCACGTCATATTTTCTTTAGTATAATTAATAACTCCCTTATAAATAGGTAGTATATACAAGATTTCAAATCCTGGTGGTGAGTTTCATAATTTCGGTGGATATAGGTGTTGCGACAATTATTGCTGTTATTGCAACATTGATTATAATTGTCGCGACATTGAACACGGTTGTTGCGACTTTGTTTTACGGAAAATATATCGATACCATTTTGTTGCGGCTGTCTTTGTGATCAAAGACACTTATTCTTTTTTCTTAGTAAAAAATGAAAAAGTTAGTTTTTCTGTTTTTTTTCATTAGGTGAGAATATTAAATTAACAAGTGGGACATAGGAGAGTGTGCCAAAAAAATAGGTGATGTTATTTATCTGAGAAATCATGACATGTTATAAGGTTAGTGAGATTTACGTGATATATATAGTACGGAATATTACAGAGTACTGTGTTTTGAAGACAGATACTTGTGTGGTGGGGTTGTACTTTACTACCAGTAAATATTAATGGTATTCTCTTACATTATTGCATTTATAATTGATGGTTGAGTATCATTATTTCAAAACTTGTGTCTTCATGTGATGATGAATATGGATATGTTCTGATTTATGTGTTTGATTTTTTTGTATCTTGCAGGCTGAGGAGCAATGTGAAGCCAGTGGCAACAAAAGGCTAAGAAAGAAAAGGGTAAATATAGAATTTTCTTTGAATGTATGTCTATCTATTTGCATTGCGCATCTTTTGTTTTAATAATTTCATCATATTTTTGAGTCGAAATGCCCTGTCCTGTTTTCAGTTACATGCTTAATGTGTTGATGCTTTTATGCAGTCTCTACCTGAACTACTTGAAGAAGAGAGGTTACTTTTGAAAGAAAGGGGAAATTTGAAAGATGTATGATTATTTTACTAGTTCTGGTTTTCTTATTTTCTGTGTTTTTAGTATAAAACACGCGTAGACCCTCTTGCTTGGAGATATATTTCTTACTTATTGTTTTTTGTTATGAGCAGAGAGTGGCATCCATGCATCTCAATGTTGAGAAACAAAGAGCCAACAATGAAAGCTTAAAGAAAATGAAGGTGATAACTTCTTGTTCTTCTACCCTTTTATAAGACCTTTGCACTTTCAAAATCAAGTTGTGCTTGTTATATACCAAAGTTTAAACTTATGCTTGATTAGTGACTATCTGTATTGGTGTATCTAATCATGTCTTTGATTTTGTTGTTACAGATTGATTTGGTGTCACAAAAGAACACAGAAACAGCCAGAATCTCTCTGGTGTCACAAAAGAACACAGAAACAGCCAGAATCTCTCTGGTGTCTGGAAAAGCTGTTCTTCACACAATGCGGGTTGTGGACACAAACCATGGTTCATTGTCTAAATTAGTCCAGCCTCAGATGGCCCAAGTGAAGAAATCAGTTGTCATTACGGAGGGTGGTTCATCATCTGAGTTAGTCCAGCATCAGACAGTTCAAGAGAAAAAATCAGTTGTCATCGTGGAGGGTGGTTCATCATCTAAATTAGTCCAGCCTCAAACAGCAGTCCAAGAGAAGGAATCAGTTGTCATTACAGAGGGTGCTTCATCATCTGTGCAACGAGAGGTTCATCGAGAGAATAATAACCGAGCATTACCATTCCTGCTGCCTGATCTAAATCTACCTCCAGAGGAAGAATAAACACCTTTCGTCGATAAGTTTATTAACCGAGTCTGCATACTTGTATGTTAGATATCCTTATAAGATCTAACATCGATACCGAGTAATACTAACTTTAGGTTATGCCAATGTAATTGCTATTGCTATTCCATTTGCTTCCCTCAAATAGTCAAAAATCACTGAAAATTAATTTTTTTCAATTCATGGTGGTACTGAGGGTAGAGTAAGTGTAGTCACTAGCCATTAGCGATTTTGACAACATTAGACATAGCTTCATTTTTTCTTTTCTTTTCATGCTTGTCCAAGATTCTTTTGAGGAAATCCCTCAACTTTTTTTCTTCCTTTACAATAGAAATTGAAAATATTTACTTATAAATGTAAATTACATGGTCTCTGGTTTATAATTAAGACCATTCATTAATTTTGATTATTTTAGTAGGTTGTGTTGGTGGAGTTATGAATTTGTGCATTTTTTGTTCTGTCAAGATATTAACTGTTTTCTAGAACACGAGGTTGGTAGGGCATCTTAAAGTTATTAAGAAAAGCAACATGCTTTGAAAATAGATCTGGTCTATTTTCTAACTTTGTTGTGGGACCACGGCTTTCCTAAAATCAGTGTTATGTGACACTTTTGGAGTATATACAATTTATACTTTTTATGGAAAGATAGTAAATATGTGAGATCATATGAAAGGGGAAATGGGAAAGGAGTAGAGAAGTGTGAAATGAGCAAAGAATAAAGTGTGTTAAATAATCATTACTTTGTGAAAAATGACCATTTCTTTTTCTACCCTTCCATCTTTTTAGTCATTCTTGGCAAAATTCTATTTTTATCTTTGAATTTAGAGATGTATCTCTTAACGCATCAAATATCATTTTTCTGAGGTGTTTCAGAGATGTATCACAGAAGTCATGTAATATGATATTTTTGGAGTGAATTCGGAGATGTATTTTTGAAGTTATCCAATGCTATAATTTCAAATGTACATTACCTTGAAACATTGATGTTGAAACATAGAGGAAACAAAACAGAAACGTTGAAACATAGATATAACATATATGTTGAAACATTGATATTACGTAGATATTACATAAACAATTACATAAATTAAATATTGAAAGTCGAAATTACATAGATATTGAAGCATAAATTTAACATTACATATTGTTATAAACGGGTATCTAAGAATGTCGCAACATTTTAATAACATCTTCAACGGATCTCTGAATTTTTGCATCCAATTCAATCAGACCCATAGTAGAGTATTGACGAAAAGTACTCCACATAACCTTTAAATCATCATCCGTCTTCAGCTCAAACTTGGTGAACTTGACATTTTCATTAGTGTTAAGTGATGGTGAACGATACTCGACCTTAACTATCATCTGATTATCTGGATATTGCAAGAGAGAGTTGAGTATGGTAATGAGCTTGGCGAGAGGCGTATCCTCACAGAACCTAAATTGAAGTGGCGACATCACACCGTTGAAGTAGACAAAAATAAGACGAGGATATGTTTGTGTCATATCTAATTTGTGGTGTGTGATATCTGACTTTGGTGTATGATGTTGAAGAAATAGTTTAGACATCCTATTTATTGAAGATTTAGAGCAATTTGGTCCTAATAATTCTTATCATGTGTCAGAACATGTTTCAAAAACACACTTCCGAAACAACCCCTTATTTTTTTAAACAAAAATAAGGTGTTTTCGGAAGTACAATTCCGAAACATTCCCTGATTATTTTTTTTAATTCAAAAATATATTTTCGAATTATGCAGAGACAATTATATGTTGGCAGAATTAATAGCATTCAAAGATAAATTCACAATTTAATCGATAAAAATATAAATCGGTAAAATATTGAATATAAATATTATATATGTATTGAATCATATAGATACATTTTAAAATGATTCGATTATATTGTGCACGACAATACATACAAAAATGATCCGATTACATTCTAAAATATAACGAACGATAACTACCGCTTAAATCTATAACTGGATCTTTCTTCGAATTCTCCCTATTTGATTCTCTTTCAAGTTCTGACAACTTGGTGAATTCGGCCATCCTTTCCAAAAAATGATCCGGTCAAGTTTCCGCCTGTTGTGCAAAATGTGTCGTCCATTGCAATGACGTAGCCGTAATAGGACACCCCGACTTCAAAAGAACTTGAACAAAATGGAGCGATCTAAGATACCCAATACAAATGATGTGGCCAGATGGGTCTAGAGGTGGGCGACTTCGTAGTGGAAAAAATGTCTTTGAAAAACCATATCTCGTGAGATCGATACACACTCTGTCATATGCACTTTCTATAAGATGACTCATTTCAGGGAAACACATCCACTTGTCAGGTGGTGTGGAACCGGTAAGACTTGGAACAAGAGCATTATGAATTTTATTGAAACGTTCCTTACCCTCTTATAGTCGTACGTAATCTTCCCTATGCGTCATCAATTCCAAAATAAGTGTTTATCGTACAACAGTGTGATTCTCCTCACCTTTACCAAGTAAATCGGACACGGCCCAAAACTCACAATTACCGCCCCCCACATATACAATCCTTTCAATGGATTTTCACATAAAAATCAGCATCTCATCAATGTGAATAATCGACGGTGGAATTGGTGGTTTTTATTTATTTTATATTTTAGAAAATTTAGAAACTTGACACACAAGCTCCTACAATGTACCACATTTTCAGCATACAACTCTTTTATAGAAGAATTCAATATATTTGTCCATGCATCCATTATATTCTCCGCCACAACACTAGCTTTAACAATGTTTATGTCTTCACCTTTGAAGTCTTTGGTGTCAACCGCCGGTTTGAGCTTAGCTCTCACATTTTTTGTTATATGATACCGACAAAGTAATACATATGATGTAGGGAAAATACTAACCGCATTCATAAAGGCGTTATCTCGGTCGGTTACAATGGCACTAGGCAACTGTTGTGGATTCTTCAACAAACTCTTGCATATATCCAACACCCATGTAACATCCTCTTCTTTCTCACATTCGAGGAATGCAAATCCAACTGAAAAAGTCTTATCTGTAGAGGTGACACCAACAATTTCTAGAAGCGAAAGCCTATACTTGTTGATCTTGTATGCCTAATCAATTATAAGGACGGTCATAAATATGTTGAACAACTTGATACTTTTCAGATGAGTCCAAAAAATATCACGGACACTAACTTTATCTTCACACAATCTATACCTTGAAATATAATGGTTATCGTCCAAAAGTTTCAACAACGGTTGCATTTTTTTACCTCAGACGTCTACTCGCAATAAGTTGTTTATAACGTTCATTGTATACTTGCTTGATATTTGAAACATTTTGTGGTTGTTTTCGTTTCAAATATACAAGTATGTTTTTTGGCGCAACTTTAATTATCGATATTTCCGAAATAATTTCCTTCTCCTCTGGCTTAAGTCGACCTACAATTGGATGATCTTATAGCTTGGTGTCCAACGTATGATTATGTTTACCGAAAATGACAGAAAACAATCACGTAACATCCACCCTACATGATCCGCACAATTTGAACGGACACTCACATTTTCTCGATCTGGTGTCATCATGTTATAAATTCTGAACTTTTGGAACATATTTTCCACTTCTCTCGCATCTCATGGTTACAAATGTTTGTCTTCTACTAGTGCCATTATCGGACCTTCCAATCACAACACCAAAGCCGAGTTTGCTACCTTTCATTCGAACACAATCAAGCAAATGTTGTCGATTATTGAAAACTTGATCATTTGCAAATTGGTGTCTAACATCTAGGTCGACAACAATCGATTTAACGTCGTTCTTCACCTCATCCAGTTTTTCATCATTATTCACGTTGTCCGAAACATCCTTGGGAAACATGTCGGGGTGCACCATATCTAATACAGACAAAAATATATAAATTGTTAATATTGTTGTTTCTGTAACAGGGGCAATTTCAGAAATGTATTTTCGAAATATGTTAGGTGGATTTCGGAAATACATTTCCGAAGTGACGCAATTTTTCATCTAAAAAATCAGCATCAATGCAAGGAATTGAGAGATGAAATGAGGAATGTTTACCTTAAATTACAACTTTTTATGCTCTCTTTAACATGATAAAACACTTGAAACTTCTTTTGGAGAGGGAAAAATGGATTGAGTTTTTGGTGAGGGTTTTGGTTGTGAGAAGCAAATGAATACAATGAAATAGTTCATGCAGCAAGGTGGTATAACTAGCATATTTTCGGAAATACATCTCCGAAAACAACCTGAATGTTTAAATTTAATATTTGGCTTGAAAGAATATATTTTTAGAAGTGCATTTCTGAATTCTACCCAAAATTTGATTTTGGATGCATTCGGAGATGCATCTCCAAAATACCTTGATTTGAGGTACGTTCAGAGATTCATTTCCAAAAGATATTTTCAGATTTTCAGGAATTTATTTCCACCTCTAAAAGTTGTATAAATAAATTCTCTAAAAAGATTGTTGAATGTTGTAAAACAGTTTTTGTGGACTTTTAGCTCAGTAGGTTGGAAACTTTGAATCATGTTAAATGTTTTCTTAAAAAATATGAAAAACCATTAATTTGTATGTGTTGTACCCCAAAATTTGCCCTCCCATTTCATCAATATTTTCTCACCACAAGACCCTTGGAGCTCAAGATCCAATTAGGGTTTTGCTCTGCTCAAGACTTCTCCTTGCATTGTTGACCCAAATTAGGGTTTGAGTTTGTACAAAGATGTTTTGACCTAAAAGGCCCAAAGTGACTTTCATGCTTCATGTTGGACTCACAAGTTTATCCATACCAAGTTTCAAGTCTTGATTCCAATCTTTGCCCAGTCAATTGGACAGTTGACCTAGAAATCAGCTGTATTGGGGAAAAAGTCAACTGTGGTCAATTGACAGTCAAACCTCATGATTTTTGACCCACATCAACATTATGAACTCATATGAACCATTTGGTCAAGTTTGGATCATAATTCCACAATAAATTTGATCAAAACAC